ATCAAAAGATGATTAATTTGATATATTATATATGTAAAATCGATAAGAAATACAAAATTTATCAACTTTTAAAGTACATTTATAATTCAATAGCTTATTGAAGGAAACAAATCAAAATTCAGGGATATATCAGTCACATAGTGCCTCCTTATGTAAAATTACAAAGAATTAAAGGGTTATATTAGTAAAAGTGATATTAAAATACCTAAATTAGCTAAATAATATTTATGGAATTATATATAGGGAGGATTTGAAACGAGGGTATAACTATAGAGTGCGCAATTGTGTTGCAACATATAAGATAAATATAATTTGCATAAGTATAAAAGTAGATAAAAAAAAAAAAACTCTTCGGGGAGCGTCCCACTACCCTTACAAATCCTTCATTAGTAGTTTGCCCCCTCAAAAATATCTCATTAATTTGTTTGTGCACGATTATACAGTTTGACCTTATGCGACTCATACTCCTCTTAGCCTAGCCAAAACTATATACACGATTCTATCAATTACTTCTCTTGCCACACACGCATGGAATTTAACAACTGCGAATCTCTCGAGCTAAACAATACTAATCTCTATGTACTATGAAAAAGTGTTTGATAAAATTGCGAAAAAACAAAGTATCAACTCGTCAGTTTTTCAATGGTGTAAGAACACTGAAATACTGCGATTAGGATAACTAAAACAAGAAAAACTCTCGAACACTCAATTGAATGCTTAATGAAAGTAATATCGATAGTTCAACAATATTCAGTTGATCTTCGAGTAGACTATTTATACAACTCCTTAGATGTAATGCCTTCAAGATCTTGTTTCCTTTAATGAACCAAGCTCTTCCTCTTAGTGATTTTGTGAAACTCCAAAAGGGGGAAATAGGGCAGCTGGAAGTATGAGCTTTATTATATTACAGGGCAGGTGAATCAGCTCAAGTGGCGGATTGGCACCTTTTAAGGAAAGTGTCTTGATTACGATCTTCAATCACTTCGTCTTTTCTCTTCCTTCCATATAGTCGAGTCTACGAAATTCCATGCAAGAGATAATTCTACAGAAAATACAAACACATATAAGATATTGCATATAACTAAATCAAACACACACACACACACACACACACACACACACACACACATACATATATATATATATGTGTGTGTGTGTGTGTCACATCATTATACAAGAGACTTATTGATTTAACACTTCGATTACCTTCTCGCGTTATATGTCACATCAATTCTATTAATATATGCATAAACTTTGGCACATTAATATTATTCCCTCTTATTTTTAATAAGTGTTTATTGATAAGTTGTATAGTAATTAAGATTTTTTTATCTGATAAATTCTCGCTAATGAAGATAGAGCTGGATGTTTATTTTTTAGCTAAATAAGGGTCATTTATTAACCAAAAAGACATTTAAAAAAATAAGAGGTAATATAATTTTGTTGTTAATGTACAACACTCAATATAATTAGTTACAGTTTGAAGATTTAAATTGAGCAAAAAAGTAGTATAGTAAGTATTAGTTTTTTTTTTTTTTTTTTTTTTT